CCCAGCTTCACCACCACGCACGCCTCATCACTGCCATACAGTTACACATTCAAACTTTATAGGACTTTTTTATTGCTTATAATTATAAAACTTTCATTTGTAAATGTAAAAATTCTGTTTAAATTAAATGGCGTAAAAGCATATAGCCTATCGAGTACGGCTATTTATTAAAAAAGAAAATTATTCAAAATATAATGTGATTGCCGACATTTAACACAAAAAAAATTACTTGTTTATGTACACTTTATTACGTTGAGTAATATTATTAGAGAGATTACCCGTCTCTACTTTTATAGATACTTTTTTCATAAAATTATCGACTGTTCAAAACAAAACACCCAACAAATTAACTCATATAAAACTCGTTAAGCCTCTTTCTATTATGTAAGTACGAATAGAATGACATTTAAATACATTAGCCCCTGTTATATGAATAAGATAACCTAGTTATTTTTTTTACTTAAATTTTGTCCAAAATAAAATAATTTTCGGACGCTTACCCTCTGTATATACCAGTTTGTGGCACAATAATATACGAGGCTGCAATATCTATATCCAAATCGATGAACGTATGATGATGTACTGCATATTGCATTCCCAATGCTGATTTTTCTTTTAAATCGGACAATTTGTTACCCGCTGCTGCTTGTAAACTAAAAAAATATACACATAATTAGTATAACAATGTTATTTAAATTGGTACATCGGATATAAGAGTACTGTTAATACTCATTGCTCATTACACACTGTGTAGTGTGTAATAAATACACATTGCACATTACATATTACACATTACACATTACCCACCAACACGTCATATATAGTTTTCTGATACAGGAAATTAATAATGTCCTGTTTTATTTTTTTGTTTTTGTAAGTTTCATTGTGGTATATGGGGAGGGGGCCTGTTGATTACACAGGGCACCGCCTTAATTTGGACACCTGTAACCTGCCAAAGAGGAACATCAATAAAGCTATTTTTTTTGGTAATGCTGACGTGCCAAGTGAAGGTTACATACGTGGTGAGTGCGGTGGACTCGGTGGGAGGTTTGAAGACGTTGACGATCTCGATGACGGTCTGCGCGTCGTAAACAATCTGCAGCGGCCGCGCTAGCACCTGCACGCGCTGGTCGCACTTGCCGTCTGCATTCAACACAGACAATTCATTTTATTTTATTTATTTATGTAATATTATAAAGAGGAAACATTTGGAATTTTGTAAGTATTGTAATAACTCAAAAATTACTGAGTCGATTTGAAAAATTCTTTGACAGTCTTGATAAACAACTATTAAAACATGAATCAATAAAATATTATTATGCAAACGTTTTCGATAAAAAAAACATATGTTTGATTATTATCCTTCAAACAACATAATCTTACTTATATCATAAATGCCAAATTTAGATGATTGGTTGTTTTATAGAGTTTGTAGCCTAAACTGAAGAACAGATCTCCATGTAATTTGGCATATTGTAGCCTATGTATGTAGTAGAGAATATTCTGGAAAAACTTTTATACTATTTACTTTTGTTTTTTAAATTCCACGCGGACGGATTCGCCCGAAAGCTAGTATGTTAATATATAAATTTAAATAACATAAATATAGATAATTAAATGCATGTTCTCTGAGTTACCATGGTGAAAAAGTCATCGTAAAGGATATATAACTCACCCAATGGGTTCGTTTCGAATACAACATTCAACAAATTCGCGTCTTGTGCAACTTCCTTGGAGGTGACCAACTGAGGCACAATCTCGCCTTGCTGCACGCCGGACACGGTGAACGATTTCATTTGAACATCGACTCTGAAAAA